GAAATCTGAACCCCGGCTCCTCAGATTAATAGAGGTGAGACTCTAGCTGTAACAGTCGTTATTGCTGTCCCTGGGATAGACAACGGCCTAAATGCTTTATATACATTTTCCTATTTAATCTTCAAAGCGACTGTAGCAAGTAGATATTACTAACCCCAATTCTCCGAGGATGAAACAAAGCCTTTAAGACTTAAGTAAGTTGCTCAAGGTTAAATAGTTTGCGGTAGACACAGCAGCCAAGACCAGACTGTAAAGGGAGCATAAAGAATACCCACCATGAGGATTGTTCTGAGGATCAGAAAAGCATTTAGCACAGTTGTGTCAGTCATTGTCCAACTCTTTGTGACCCCATGGACTGCAGCCCACCAGGCTCCTCTATCCATGGGATTCTCCAGGCAAGAATACTGGAGTGGGTTCCCATGGTCTCCTCCAGGGGATCTTCCTGACCCAGGGATCGAACCCACATCTCTTATGTCTCCTGCATTGGCAGGCGGGTTCTTTACCACTATACACGATACCAGCGTCCACAAGGCATGGCAGTGCTTAACAAAAAGAAGCCACTGCTATCATTGCCGTTGGCACTGGTATCACTAAAAGCTGCCCAAGATGACACCATTGTCAGTAGTAGAGGCAGGGGATGGTTGAGCTACAAAGAATACTGACTACTTGAAGTAAACAGATTAATTGACAGTGAGAGGCAATAAACCATAGTAGTTAAGACCACAAACTAAAACCAGAAAGCCTGATTCTGGTCCCACCTTCACCTTTTCCTAGCTCTGTGACCTTAAACGTATCATTTAATTTCTCTGTGCCTCAGATCCCTCAACTGTAAAATAGTGACAACAGCAGTACTTACTTCCTAGGGTTATTACAAAATATACAGAAAACATTTCAAGCAGTGACTGGCATATTCCAAGCATTCAGAAGTGTTTGTTAATAATCATTATCCTAGAACGCAAAATCTAAGAAAAGAATCATACTAGTTTTGTTCATTGCAGTGTTCCTACCACCTAGATAAGTGACTGGGACATTATAAACAATATATTAACAGTTGCTGGATGAATTAGATCCCCACATCACCAGTTATACCACCAAAAGCCATAATATGATAAGATCCCTGATAACTGGAGTAAGGGTTTCTGAGACTGTACCAATAAAATCCATCTCTTCATTTTTTACAGAACAAAGTGAGACTGAGGCAGCTCCTATATACTCATAAAATCATAGGTTTTTCCAACAGAAAGAACTTAAGTGGCATGTCCAAGGTCTCAAATAGTTAGTAGCAGACTTAGGTTAAGAGTCCAAGTCCTTTGACTTCTAGTCTTTCTCTGTACAATAAAATCCTTTGATAAACCAAAGTAATCACTCACTGTCTTTCAAACCATGGGCCTGGAAGGCAAGGGAGGAGGAACTTTGAGGAAGGTAAGGAGGATGCAGCCATTAGTATTCTGTTGTACATTTCAGGTACTTGGGTTGAGGAGTGAATTTATTTCATACCCAGAAACAATGTAGCAAGAATTATCACACATCATCAAGTTGATATCACTGAGACAATCAATTTAGTAGTTCACAAGTATATATTAACAGAGATGAAAGGGATTTTTCAAAATATATTTTTCTCAGCTCACAGACTATATTCACACTCACATTTAGCTTAGTTCCAAATTATAGCTGACCCTTGAACAACACAGGGGTTGCGGGGCTGAAAATCTGTATATGACTTTACAGTTGGCCCTCTGTTTCCACATTAGTGGAACAGTTCGGCATCAGTGGATTCATGGATGGTGTAGAACTATAGTAGGTTATTTATTGAAAAAAAAGTCTTTATAAGCGGACCTATGCAGTTAAAACCCGTGTTGTCCAAGGGTCAAGTGTATTTCCTTACAAGCGAAAACAAAGATTTTTGCATAATAGTTAATTGTTATTTTCTGGCTTACATTGGGAAAATGGGCCTAGATGATTAGAAAATTAAAATTTTAAAAAGAGCAACCCGAGAAGGACGTACAACATTAACTTGGTGTACTCGATCTGAGTACACAGGTATTTAAATCCTCCGTCAACTGTTAGAATTGGCCAGTCAGCCCATCTCAACCTTCCTGAGCTGGAGTCCCTGAGCTGTGCCACAAACCTGCCTATGCACATGTGGACTAAACAGAACCCACCACTCTCTTCAGGGACAATTTCTTCTTCAACTGCAGTCAGGGAAAGGCACACTAACTCCTCGAATCAGACTGAGAGAATTCTCCAGGATACTAGGTCATGAGGCAGGTTTTGGACAAGAAGCCTTCCAGAACTTTCCTCAAATCTCCCACAGTCACTCCAGCTCAAACCTGTCAAGTCATTCTAAAAATCAATACGCACATAAAGTCCTCCCACCTGTCCCCCTTCCTTCCCAGGTTGTCAGGTTGTCACAGAGATTATACAGCAGTTTGGGGAAATGTATCAGTTTAGAGATACACAAACGTGGGATGTCTCTAGGCCTGTCAGGACAAGGTAACTTTCCAGTATTTCCAACAACACGAGGTCGAAATGATGGGAGCCAGACTAGCAAAGATTCTGGCATTTTGCCTTTGCAAAGATGCTCAGATGAAGAAAAAAGAGAGCAATTGCAGCTGATGGACTTTAAAGACAAGAACTGATTACCTAAATAAGTAAGAAAGATTAGGAAACCATCTAAGGTTCCATTTGGGGGGAAAAAAAAGAAGAGCCCTAACCCTGCCCCCGCAAAGGTTAACCACCTGCTTCCAACAGACCAAGGCCACACATGTGCTTGCAAGGATTTTCAGCTTTTCTCCACACACCTACAAGAATCCTGCAGTGGACAACAGGCTCTCTCTGTGGGATGAGGAGGTTGATATTCGCTGGCTCGATCCCCTACGACTCTCACTTGCAGAGGGCGGCAGCACAGCCAAGAGCCATGAAGAAATGTCAAGAGCCCCTGAGAATCCGGCAGCAGGCGGGGCCCCTCCCCACCCACCGCTTGGAGCCACCACGAATGGCTCTGACAAGGGTTCATTGGCATCTGATCTATTTTTTTTTCTTCAAGGTTTGTGTCTCTATGGCCAGGCTAGCACTCAGGATATACTACTTCGTTCGTTTGTTTTACATGGCAGATACTTTTTTGGAATGGGGACTTTAGACCATATTTTCAAGGATCTAAAGAGGTTTTTTTTTTTTTTTTTTTAACAAATCTAAGAAGCTCAAGCTAAATTTTTGAGGCCCTCCAGGCTTCCAAAAGTGCTGAATTTCCATTGTCAAAGAAGTTTAGGAACACTGAGTTTAAAAGATTAGCAATTGAGCTCTTCCCTATTGCAGGGCCTCTCAGAGCCTTTAATGTATTACTATACACGAAGAATCTCCAAGAGAGGGCGAAGCTTTCTGCACTGGCAAACCTGTCTGGCTGTAGAACACCTTTTTTTAAGGGACTCTGTTGTCTCTCTAAGCACTGGTGTTCTGTGGAGCACAGGTTAGAAAATGATAGCATACAGAGCAATCTTTCCCTTCTCATTCATGCTTAACCAAAGTTTGCATCTTAGGTTACTACAGCAGAGACCGTTCAAAGCCACGCAATATCTGTTCTCCCATTGGTCTTTAGTAACAACAACAACAACAATATCCCAATTTTATCTGGAAGACAACGTACCCAGATCAAAAACTACATGCCCTAGATTCTTTGAAGGCAGGGGTGAATATGTGACTAAGTTCTGGTCAATGATGTGCAAGCAAAATTATTGCGTGGGACTTTCAGAAGGGTTGCTCAAACGGAGTTGACCTATCTGACAGAAACACTCTACTGTCCTCCACCCTCCTCAATCTGACTCCCTGGAATGTAGATGTGATTGCTGGAGCCCTGAAGCCATTTCTGATCCCCGGTGAATTTCAGAAAGAAGCCTCAGGCTAGGCTGGCAGAACAATAAAATGATCCTAAGCCTCCGATGGCCATGGTATACCACTGGACTGTCTATATCTGGACATCTTTAAATTGAATGAAAAATAAACTTCTATCTTCCTTAAGCCTCTAATAGTTAGGGTTTTCTGTTCAATACAGCTGAATTCTAATTCATTTACTTTGAAGTTTACTGTTCAGGTATTTTTATTTATTTATGTTTAACTAACAGTCCTTCTTTAAAGTATTCTTTTCCATCGGCCTTTGCTTTGGTAGAGGTTACAGGCATTACAGTTGTTCAACAGATAGTTCTGTTCGCCTTCTGCTGGTATGTTATAAGACAGTACTTGTTCATCCCTCTTTATGTTGAGTGTGGCCACATGATTTGCCCTGGCCAATGCAATGTGAATGGAAGTGATGTGCCACTTTCAGATGGAATATTTGATTGTTGGTGTCCAGTATTGTGGTGACTATGGAATCCTACGTGGACATGAAGCCTCCACTAGTCTGTATCCTTGGATAGATGATGAACCGAGTCCTCTTTCTGATGGGCTCTGGACATGTGGCATGGTAAGAAATAAACTTGAGCTGTATGAAGTCTCTAAGATTATTAGTTATCACAGCACATCTTAGCTTGTCCTGACTGATAGAAATGACCCAAAGATGGTCATAATGACAGTCTCACTGTATAAGGCTTTATGATTTCTGAAACAATACTTGAGAAAAGTCACTTTTTACTAGGTATCTCCTATGCCTCAGATAATTGTGCAGGGCATTTTGCAAAAATTATTTTATTTGGTTTCTGCATTGATCTTTTAAGGTAGACTGTTCACAAGAAAGAAAACTGAGGCTAAAAGAGTGACCTATAGAAAATCAATGTCCAGTGCCAAAGCACACATTGTTTTGTACTGTCTCCAACCACTGTCTCCAACTCTCCCCACTGTCTCCAACCCTGGAACATCTGAAGGCAGCCCTAGGAACACTAAAAACCTTACAAAGCTGACTGGCAACACAGGAGTTCCTGGAACCCTTTGTTACCAAGGAGGAGGTGGGGGAACCGAATTTAAAAAGTGGAGTTTGTTCTCTCACGTGGCCGACCACATCCTGTACGGACCAGACTGTGGCATCCTGGGGCTTGCAGTCCTGGTGCCACGCTGAGGACAGCAGAACTGCAGGCCCACCGACCGCTCATTCAAGTGCCTTTATACTCAAAACCTGCTTTCTGAGCCACTGTTAAGGTAACATAGCAGCTGAGAATAACTAATTGGGCAACATTCTCTGACTGCTGGCATGAGCAGTTATAATCTTGGCATCACCGTGGCAACCTGACTGGAATGCTGGTTATTCGCACAAAGAAAAACTGGTCTCCATTCAGACCAGCATTGAATTTTGTCTCTGTTTCACTTTTTCCCATTACAAGTTGCTACCAAAGGAACAATGCTTCTTTTAAGAAGAATGTTTACGATCCGTGGAAAAACAGCATTTTCATAGTCTGGAAAAATTCGGAAAGAGGGGGAAAAGTAATATATCTTTTATTGCCAGCAGAAAAGAGATTTCATTACCACAGGCTCTATACAAACAAAATTAACGGGCACTGTGGTGGAGTAAGTGGTCACACAATTCTATGGAAATGTCAGTGCACAGCACGGGCAATGGGTTACTAACAACTAGATCACATCGAATTGATCAGGCCCCATCTCCCGGGCACCTACAATGTGCTACCGTAAGCCCTTCCTCCATGTCCCCGTGGCTTTCCTGCCTGTTCGACTCCATCATCCAACCCCAAGTTATATCTTATCAACGTCTCTCCATGCATCAGCTACAGCCAACTGCTCACCAGGCCCAGAAGATGCTCTTAAGTCCTGTGTCTTTTTTTCTTGCTGTCAGGAAAGCCTTTGTTCCCATCTCTAAGTCTTATCAATCCTTTGAGGTCCAACTCAAATCATGCATCACACCTAAGGTCCTTCCATTATATGGCACTGGTGTAACCTCCACATTAAAGCTGCCTTGATTGTATCTGTCTTACTACACTGTAAGTCAGCTCTTCCAGGAACAAGGTCTGTGTCTTCATTATCTCTGAATCTCCCAAGATGTTTAACAGTGATGCCTGACGCATCAGCTGTGTGACAAGGGAGGATGAGTGTCAATTTGTGTACCAACAGATCAGGGTTTTAGTGGGGCTTTGCCACATCCACTTGTGTAATCTTTGAAAAATTACTTAACTTCTTTGAGCCACAGTTTCTTCACCTATCAACCAGATGCTACTCAAAGTGTGGTCCACGACCAGCAGGGTCCACAGCACCTGGTAGGGTTAAAAATGCAGAATCTTGGGCTCTGCTTAGAACTACTGAACCAGACCTAACATTTTAATGAGATCCCAGGTGTAAGTGAAGACTGATACTGCAAAAGTACTGATAAAATCCATCTTGCAGAATTATGGTGAGAATGAGGGAAAGTTTATGGAAAATACCCAGCAAGGATCAGGATACCTAACAGATCCTCACTAAATGAGGAAACTATTACTAACGATAAGAGTATACCAATGCTTAATAATTTACTAACATACAAATAATTTCCTAACATAAAATGGAATGAAAATTGAGTTGTGTGGTGCTATGAAGGATCCATATATGATGGCATAAGCTTCCTTCAAGGAGCAAGTCTAATTAGTAAAAATAGAGAAAATGAAGAAAAATGAAAGGACTGTGGTTTAGAAGATCAGAGTTCCCAATCTGATTCATCATTTACAGTTTTCTCTGACATTGAATCCACTGAAATTGTCTTCACACTTGGTTTGTTCTCCTATAAAGCTGACATAAGAATATCATTTTACTGCCTGCCTCTCAGGGTTGTACTAAAGTCGAAATGAAACAAAAGCATTGAAGAATTTGCCAGAGCGAAGTTGGGCTGTTATCAATTAGTACTAAAATAAAACATGTCCATCACAAATTTTCTACTCCTGAATCCACGCTCAAGGGTGGCCACCCCTGAAGGAGAAAATGGCCCATTAGGGTCACTGCAGAATAATGTGCAGCCTGTTCCATGTTACAGGATTTGAGGGTGGAATTTTAATGGAAGGAGTGAAGAAAGAGGTGAATGGTTCGGGGGGTGGGGGTGGCTTTCCCTGCTCAGGCAGTGGGCATGGTAAAGTAAGGGCTGAGGGTACCCACAGCTTGGAAATGCTAGGGAAGGCATGGGTACAGAGCGCCACCGTAAGCCCCAGGAGAAGGAATTCACAGCAGACCAACTCAGCTTCAGACGTCAGGAAAGAACAGTTACAGGAATCCTGAGGATTCTGGTTTGCCAGGCGGGGGACCTAAGACTGGAGGGCTGAGGAACAAGGAGGCAGCATTTGTCGGACTCCATTTCTCAAGAACCTGACTCACAAAACAAGATGAGACGGGAGATTAGCAGCCATGTCCTAATCAGTCCTACAGGCAGAACACAAGGGAAATCCTAAGAGCTCAGATGGGTGGGAGACGGACACAGACACAGTCAAGGAAAGCTGAAAAGTAGAGGTGAGCATCGGGCTGGACTTGGAAATACACATAGAATTTGCATAAGCAGGAGACTGGCAGAGGGGAGAAATTTCTTTCCGAATGATATTATTTTAAAAGAATACATGCTAATCGCATGTATCACTTCTGTGAGAAATAACCCAATCATGGAAACATCACTCATAGGGCTGCACCTTCATTCAGCAAGCTTTAGATTATTTCTAGAAATCTTAGGTCCATCAGCATTTCATGAGGCAAACAGATTTCAGGCACCGTGCCCGTGTAACCAGGGCAAAGTGGCAGACACACAGGGGATAACAAATATAAAATCATTACTTTTTTAACAAAGTATCGTGTCTGAAGTCTTATTTATCCCAGGCAACAAGGGAACAAATATATAAATTACACTGCTGTAGTAATTTGTTTACATTCATCTCCCCCACTCATCCAGGTTCCCTCTTCCCCAAAAAGCAGGGGCTGGGCTCTCTTCTTATAAACATTCTGAGCAACTTACACAGTATCCATGTCAGAGAGGGCACTTAAATTGGTTAGGTAAGATAAGATAGCACATAAAAGCTGTTATTTACTTTTTCTTCAAAGGGCTTCCCTTATAGCTCAGTTGGAAAAGAATCCGCCTGCAATGCAGCCCTTGTTTGATATCCACTGGAGAAGGGATAGGCTACCCACTCCAGTATTCTTGGGCTTCCCTTGTGGCTCAGCTGGTAAAGAATCTGCCTACAGTGAGGGAGACCTGGATTTGATCTCTGGGTTGAGAAGATGTAGGAGACCTGGGTTTGATCTCTGGTTGGGAACATCCCTTGGAGAAAGGAAAGGCTATCCACTCCAGTATTCTGGCCTGAAGAATTCTATGGATTGTATAGTCCATGGGGTCGCAAAGAGTCAGACACGCCTGAGCAACTTTCACTTTTCTTAAAACTCAGCATTAAAAAAACTAAGATCATGGCATCCAGTCCATTCACTTCATGGCAAACAGAACGGGAGAAAATGGAAACAGTGACAGATTTTATTTTCTTAAGACTTCAAAATCACTGCGGATGGTGACTGCAGCCATGAAACTAAAAGACGCTTGCTCCTTAGAAGGAAAGCTATGACAAACCTAGACAGCATATTAAACAGCAGAGACATCACTTTGTTGACAAGTTCCGTATGGTCAAAGCTATGGATTTTCCAATAGTCATGTACGGATGTGAGAGTTGAACCATAAAGAAGGCTTAGTGCCAAAGAACTGAGGCTTTTGAACTGTGGTGCTAGAGAAGACTTTTGAGAGTCCCTTGGACAGCAAGGAGATCAAACCAGTCAATCCTAAAGGAAATCAACCCTGAATACTCATTGGAAGGACTGATGCTGAAGCTGAAGCTCCAATGCTGTGGTCACCTGATGCAAAGAGCCAACTCATTGGAAAAGACCGTCATGCTAGGGAATATCAAGAGCAGAAGAAGGGGATGGAAAAGGATGAGATGGTTAGATAGCATCACCGACTCAATAGACATGAATTTGAGCAAACTCTGGAAGATAATGGAGGACAGAGGAGCCTGGTGTGCTGCAATCTATGGGACTGCAAAGAGTTGAGCACAACTTGGTGACTGAATAGCAAAAATTTACTTTTTCATTGGTGGAATCAACAGTAAATAAGGCAATCTTTATATATCTTAAGATAAGGATATATATTACTCAAGAGTACACAGCTGGGTACCAGAGAATTTGTGAATCCACACTTAAATACCCTGCATCTTTCTGGAAAGGCTCTTTTCCTTGAGGACCTAAGAATTTATTCTAATATATTAAATTAAGCCTGGATAAGTTCATGTCTATGTTAAAGGTAAAGCTTCTAGTAAATTCCAGGTTTCCAGAAGAGGTAGTCCCACCAACCTACCAGTATCTCTAGTGACTCAAATTTACTCTTTTTCGCCTACAGGGATGTTTCAGTAAAAAAAAAAGTCAGAGGTATATTGTTCACCTATACCACCAATACCCCTAAATTTCTAATAGAGAAAATGCCCTTAATTTCACCTCTATTCATTCAGAGCCTGCAGTTACTTAAGTTAGAGCAGAACAGTAGTTTAATTTTCTATTGCTCATACAGAATAGGTTTTAAGAAAGTAATATATCTTTTAAATAATAAAAGGAATACTTAGTTTTAAAAAAGAGATTGCAGTCAAGTGCCATTCACCTCTGATCACGGACTAATTACAACCAGACATCTCCACCACAGCTGGCAATCCATGACCTGTGTTAAGATGGCCATTCTAGTCCTTCTCGGTGTCACCTAAACTTAAAAGGAATTAAGACTCTACAGATCATTGTCTTACTTTTCACCAATATAAAAAATGCCCCCTACTTCTTCCCCTATTCTTTGGATCAGTGAGGTTTTCTGCGAGGCAAATAGAATGATTTTAGTTCTCAAATAAAGAGATGGCCACTCTGGTGCTTATTAAATGGGCTAAACATTTTTGTTCTATACACTTTTCAGTATGTTTCACAATTAAAAGGCTTAAATAATTTAATCAAGAAGGCAAAGATTCAGTTCCAAAGAATGAGGAAATAGATATAAGCAACCATCCAACAATTAAGTTATCAGTTCTCTGTCCTAACAGTGCTTCAGAGATCCGTAAACTAGGGCTAACTAAAACCCAGTAGGTAAGGATCTTTTGTTACAACGCAGAAATTCTCACCCTGACTACTGAATTCCACTCAGTAGTTAACCATACCATACAGCACAATGCTAAGCATTTAATATTTACAGATAAAGTGCCTACTTCATTAACATACTGTTTGGCAGTATCTAAAATGAGCCTGTGGTCACATCCTCATGACCTGATATCAGCTCTCACATCTCCCACTCTTGTTCCAAATCTTTCCAGGGACAGTTCTTCCAAGCTTCCCTGACATGCATCCTTCTCAGCCACTGTATTCAAACGCTTTTTGAGACAAGAATCTTGGCAAATACGTGGCTGGAGATGCTTCTAGAAAGAAACAGAATTTGTGCAGTTGATTACTATGTCAGACAATGAATTTAAAATAACACCTGAAAAATCTACACAGCATTAAACTTTCCATCTTGAGTTGAACCATTTCATTCATCTCATACCAAAGCCACTGTGGGCTTCTCAGGTGGTGCTAGTGGT